GCTGATCTACACAACTCACTTGGATGCCCTTTCAATGCCGCTGATATGTAAGTGCCTGCATTGTCCACTGACACTTGCTAAAATAATTCGCATGTAGATTTTCTCTTCGTTTGATCTTAGCCGTCTGTGAAGATGCTTTTTACTCCCACATTTATTCCAACTGTGTTACTTAACACATGTTAAGCACTTACAAAAATGAAATGCAGACTATTGTACCTGGGCAAATTATCTTACAGACACTGCAAGGACTCAGAATCCCTCAGGAAAACATCCTCACAAAAGCACCTTGAGTTTTGTGCTCTTCAGATCAAAAAAGTCTCAAGCACAGGCACAGAGCCCAGCAGCAGCCTAAAGCAGGCTCTTCATGCAACCCCCCCGAACGGCTGCTCCCCACCAGCCTGGGCAGCCCAGAGGGTCCCAGTTTGCTCCAGTCCATGCTCCTGCCAGCACAGCAAAGGCGTCACTTCACACCTCCACCTCACTGCTGTCGGGGTGGCTTGGCCCTGATCCGAATGACAGAAAGACATTTCTTCTCCTCCTGGGAAATCTTGGTCAAAATTCAGTAGCACTGAAAACATCATTTAATACCCGGTTATAGGCCAGAGAGATGAAAGGAACTCTTCTCATGTCCATTTTCAGCAGAGATAATACAGACGAGCTTGCTCTGAGAGCAGAATCATGAGGATGGGCAGGGAACACAGCACTAGCACAGAAATCTGTATTATTAACCTGAGCCTGCTCTGCTGTTGCAAACAGCTACTCAAGGCTGCATTACAGAGGGCACTAGAAGTGCCACCTTCATAACAAAATATTAAAAAGGACCAAGCAATATGCTGTCATTAACATTATAAGTGTCATCATCTTGTCCTTTGTACCGCAGTGGTGATTAAAATACTACATAAAAATCAGGGATTATTGTTATTGTTAATTTAAAGAGGAAAAAAACCTGTTGCCCATGTTAACAGGCACAGATCTCAAGGACTGGAGAGGAAGCATTGAGGGTGAAGCATGGGGCAAGTCTGGCAACAGCGGGATGAAATCCATCGGCAACCGAACAGCAGGGCATCCCTGGAGCTGCAGAGCACAAGCTTTGAAGGCTCTAGCAAGAGCCCGGTAAGCACCAGGATGGCCCCAGCGCTGCTGCTCTGGGCTGAGCTCTGCGGCAAAGCCCGGCAGAGCGGCAGCCATCGCCTCGCTGCGGGGAGCTGCATCACCCCCTTCCACTTTTAAACCCTACGGCTCAAGCACTTACAGAAGTCTGCAGCCATCCAAGCGAGCCTGGCGGGCTCTCACCGGCGGCAGGTTTGTCCCGCTAAGGGCTCAAAGCTTTCTCGATTCTCCTCCATCGCCCCTGGAAGCGCGTCCCACCTACCCGCCGGGCTCCCAGGGGCATCTCCCCGGCTCTCACGCCCTCGCTGCAGCCCCCGGGGGGCTGGGGGCACAGCCCTCGCACCTAACGCCGGTCCAGGGGTGGGCGAAATGGCTGCCGTGCCGTGCCGTGCCGCTGGGGCAGAGCCAGGGCAGAAGGTGGCTGCCCCTTCCCAGGCTTCCTACTCAAGCCCTGCGCCCTTCCAGCCGCTCTGAGTCAGTGCCAGGCACGCAGAAAGGTCTTTCTTGCCTTTTCCTTTCCTAATTGACTTTACTTCTATCACAAAGAGAAATGCGGACAGACTAATTGCCGTTCTGGTCCTGGCTGAGTCTGGTGCTGACCTGAGCCTGCAGATCTGCGGGGAATTAGGAGCTGGAAGGAGGTAAAACAGATTAGCGCCTGTGGAGGGAAATCCCTTATCCCCACAGGCAAATGCGAAGAGACGGCGCTTTGCAAAGCAGCAGACATGCAGCACGCAGTTGCTGCTCTCAAACAGCAGCTGGGCGTGCTGAGACCTCGCTGGCCCAGGCGCCAGCAATTTGGGGGGGAAACCAGAGATTTTTGGGAGTACACGTCTGCCAAACAATGCATGGTTTGCTGCAGGGATTTGGGGGCCTGGACCGATGCTCCAGGGCTCGCCAGGAGAGCTCTCCCCAGCCAGGCAGCTCCATGCGGGGGAGCGGGGGTCCTCGCAGCGGGGAGCGGCTGAGAGCATTTCACAGCAGAGACCCCCATGCTGGCACTGACTGTTCGTTAAGCTGCTATTTCTGATTTTCTCCTCTGCTTCCTCAGCACTTAGGGATCCCAGGGCTTAGCACACTAAGAGGTTTTAGGGTATTACACGTCCTGCTGTGGCACCAGTGGGAGGGGCTGTCTGCATCCCATCACGGACCACACAGCAATACGGTCTTCCCTTGGCACCAGCACGGGCTGAGCTGTCGGCAGCATTGGGCTGGGTGGGAAACCACCTCCCCAGGAAACCTGGGAGACTTGACACGGGATCAGGTAAAGCCTTACGAAGGAGAGCTGCAGGGACCTGCTCTGCCCAACCCGAAGGTGAGCACGATGCGGCTGAGGGTCTTCCTCTCGCTCGTGCCCTTCATGTTCATACACATCACTGCTGCAGGGGACTTGGAGACCCCCCCCTCCTCCTCCTCCTGTCCTCTCCAGCTCTTCACCTCTCGGTGAGACAGGACATGGCTCCTTTCTCACAGGTTCTGCACAAACACAAATCTCCTCCTCAGCAGCTGAGATCCATGGCTGTGCACTGGGGGGAGCATGCACTGCCCTCCCGTGTTGAGACAGAAATGCACACACCTTCCTACAAACTGTCAGGGCATCTTCTTCGCTATTCACTGCCCAAACAGGCAGGCAAAACTGCAATGGATATTCTTCTTTTTTTTTTTCCAACAAGTGAAGTAATTGCTTCTTTTCCCTGCATTAAGTGTCTTGAGCACTTTAAAACACTGACAGTAAATTTTAATCCTTGCAAGAAATTAGTTATGGGATTCCAAGCTAAAGAAAAGATTGTTTGCTTGAAGACCTTCTGCTAGACTTTGATCAGACAAGATGTTTTAACTGATTTTCACAGCACGTGGGTTGAATGACCTTCATCTGTTTCAGTCTCAACCTGCTGTTAAAAGTATTTGCTGGCTGTTTTGTCCTTGAGCACAGCCTATAAGGCCACTAAGAGTGGATGGAGCTTCTTGGCCGTGCTGGTGCTGGTGCAGCTCCTGCCAGTACTGCAGGCAGCTCTGCACTGTGCACAGGGACCACGGAGCACAAACCCTGCCTGTCTGCCTGCAGACAAATAAACTGTCTCGTGCCCACACTGCTGCCAGCCCCCCTGTCCCCAGGCCCCTTCTATGCTGCCAAATTTGCCAGGTTACATCCAACGTCCCAAACAAACCTACAGCTGTACCTGGAGCAGTACAGAAATTTTGCTGTATCAGCAGGAAGGGAAAAAAATGGCTTTTTCACCACATCCTCCATCAGGAGCACAGTGCCTCAGGCTGCACTCTAGGATAGCTGTGTCCCAGCAATATTTTGGCCGCATTTCTCTCTCTCAGGTTTTGGTTTGGTGCGTTGGGGGCTAAGAACTTACCAGTGAAAAAAAGGTCCCCTTTCTGAAACTCAACCTCATCTCCTGCCGCTGCGTCTCGACCAAGCCAATTAATTTCCTCTCGATGCCAAAGCAGCCCAAGCACCCCTCGGAGGGCTTACCTGTCGTGCCCAAGATCCAGCCAGCAGCAGACTGGGACCCAGAGCTGGCAAAATCATCACAGCAGCTTTGAAGCTTTTGGATCAGTTACCTGGTGGCAGCAACCGGCTGAGTTTCTATGGCAAATTCTACCCAGGCACCGTAACCCAATCGGCCGCTCATTAGCGGCGCTCTGGAGAGCATGGACTGCGCCGGCTGCGGGGACGGTTTCAGTTGACAGCCAGCGCGTAAGGAACCAGCACAGGACTTTTATCTCCTGTGGCTTTAGCCCACCTCAGCCCGGTTCTAGACAAGATCCCTTCAGGTACTGGGGCAAACTCAGCCCTACTTCTTACAGCACGTGGGACGTGATGGTGTGAGAGGAGGCTCCTTAGTAAAAGGGAACATAAAGCTCAGAGCTCCTGTAGAAGACAAAATAGTTTTGCTTTAGAGATTTCACCGAAGGCAACAAATCTGAAGAAGTTTTTGCGGGTCCCTCAGAAATGACACAAGATGCGCCATGCCAGTTACACAGACCCTCTGGAAACAGAAGAAAACGGCACATCAACTCTGCTCAACTCATATGGTAACGAGCTGCCCAGGACCATAAGAGCTCTACACCCAGTTGTGGAATTTATAAAAATGATTTCGCTTTTATTTCTACTGCTTTAATCTCCGTTCTCTGCGGCGGAGGAAGGAAGAAGGCCAGAGCGAACGGCTCTCCCCAGCTCCCTCAGGAGGTGACGGCTGATTCCTCGCTCGATTTGGAGCCGCTTCCCGGTGCGTTTCCCAGCGGCAGCCCCATCCCGACACCGACAACCAGCTCCCCTCAGCCTGGGGAAGGCCCACTCCCCCGTCCCTGGAGCCGCTGGGCCCGGGCAGCTGCCGGTAGCCGGCTGGAGAGGCGCCGTCCTCGGAAACGGACCTTCCGAAGGGCTCGGGGCAGAGCGGGTCAGCCGGCCTGCTCTACCCGGTCCCCGGGGCCGGCCGCTGTGGATCGGGATCCCTCCCGGGATTAGGACGGGGCCGGCCCGGGGCCAACCCCCGCTTCCGGGTGGCACCGGGCCCTGCCGCCGCCGATCCCCGAGCGGCCCGAGAGGGGGGCTCGGCGATCGATTAGCCGGCCTCGGGGGAGGGGCGGGCGGGGACGGGGGCGGGGGGAGCCGCCGCCGCGGCCGCCGCCGGCGGTGTCTGAGGGGAGCGCGGTCCCCGTTGTCCCCCCGCCGGGGCCAGCGCCTTCCCGCCCAGCCCGCTGTTCCCTCGGGGCTGGGGACCGTCGCCTTCGACGCCCCGACTGTGTCCCCTCGGGTTCCTGCCTGCCCGGGGGGTTCGGAGGCCGTAGGCCCCTGGCCCGGGGCCGGTCCTCGGTCCCGCCGTCGGTTCCCGGGGTCGGGCAGGGCGTCGGGACCGGGGTCGTCCCCCGTTGCAGGCAGCGCGCAGGCAGCCGCTGCGGCCCGGAGCCCCGAGGCCTGGCAGAGGCCCAGCCTCTCCGTCCCGTCAGTGAGTCTGAGGGCGCCGGGCCCGACAGACAGACAGACACCATGGACACCAGCCCTGTGCTCTCCTGGAGGGGTCGGGGCGGGCTGGCTGGACTCGGGGCCGCTTCACTCCTCCGTTTGAGGGATGTGGTGAAGGGTGTGAAGCATGGCGAGGCCCGGGCGCTGCTGCAGGCCTGAGCTGGCACCGACGGGCACTAATAAGCGGCTTCTGTTACGTTACAGGGCTCGGGATGGACTTTCTGACACTCTTCTTGATTTACTTGTGTTTTGTTCTCGCTGCTATTGCTCTACTCTGCATCTGCACGGGAAGGAAGGAGAGTTGCCTCGCAAGAAGCGTCAATGGTGCAAGCCAGGTAAAGAACCGAGCTTTCAGAGCGATGATCATCTCCCGTTCTGGTGGCCTGCCCTAGTTTGTCGTGCTAAAATTAGCGTATTTCTTCTCCATAAAAATGCTCATATATGCGGTTAGAGTGATGATACGGCGTATTCCATATTTCATCCTATTTTGACAACTGCTTTCAGGCAAGCTCTCATTGGGATTGGAAATAGAAATACGCTTCCTTTCGGCTGATGAAATCCTGACCAAGCAGGTAGTGAAAAACGATTTGCGTCTACAGCTCCTGTTCCTGCGTCTGCTGGTCTGGCCAGCTGCAGTCACCGCAGGGTAGTAGTAAGGACGGAGCTTCTCGCGATGCTACAAGTACATTGTTCAGTGACACCATAACACGTCAGCTTTGAGAAATTAAATAATAATGAGGCCCCAAGTATTTGCAATTTTATGGTATTTGCTGCTGTCATTAAGAGGAAGAAGGTGGGGGGAGGTTTGAGGATTAAAACGGAGAGAATTGTAACTGGTGGCAAATATTTTAGGGGAATTTCTTTAATGTGAGTCTGTAATAATGCTGCAGGCTGTTGTTTCTTAAGAAAGAGGGAGGAATGAAGAGCTTTAGAAGAGGATTAAGAATTGGCATTTTATTGTAAAAAACAGGGAATGAATTGAAAAGGCACTAGCTTATTTTTCTGTCTCTTGGGCTGTGTCTGAATGAAGAAGGAAAAAAGGTGTAGCATTCTTGGAAAGGATAAGAGAATTATCATTTAAATTGTAAATAGTATTTAATGCTGTTTACATGAGTCTGTTTAGACTTTAATTTTTATTACTAGTAGTATACTTTATTTTGCTTTATAGGCACACAGAACACTGCAGTGAAATTTATTGTTTTCCTACATTTCTTAATAGCTGCTTCTATGAAACGTGTAACGATCAGCAGTTAAAATACTGCTGTGATAGAAAGTCACTGTCTGGAGAAATGTAATAGATACTTGTATATGTGAAATAAATATAGGTAATCCTAAATAGTTTCTCTAGACACTGTATTTTAAATTCATTTGCGACTGTAATTAATGAAGCCTGTAAGCCTGGAAGTTTGTTGAAATTGTTTGACTGCACTCCTGTAAGAGCCTTTAAAGTATTCATTGTGAGCAATATGAAGTAATTAACTTGCACAGAGCACAGCTGTTTCTAGCTCTATGGCAAGTCAGCTTCCACCCCCCAGCTTGTTTTCCTTGCTGCCAGCCATTCAGTTGTGCGGGATGGTTATATGCATTGTACAAGTCTTCTCATTCCCTCCTACTTTCATCATCACTACAAGCAGAAACCATATTTGTAAAAGCCTTTTGCTTTGGTGTAAGGAATGGCTGAAATACAGGGGATTGCTGTACTGTATGTGGGGGAACAATGGATACTGAATGTAATGTTAGACTGTACTAACACACGTACAGTTAATTTAAATTTGAATTTTGCAATTGCATGCAGGTTACTTTTCTGTCTAGCTATGTTTCCTATTGCAGTACACAGCCTCTTTTTAAAAAGACTTGTCACTTGAACCGCTGATAAGAGGCATACCAGTTAAAAGAAAAATATTTAACATCTCATCTCTACATATGCTTTTTGCCTTCTGGTCTTTCACACCTGAGACAAGAAGCTCTCACTGCATATTTTCTTTCCCTGTCAGCTAGAAATAGGCTCAGCTGCTCTAATTCCTCCACCACTGATGAAGCAGCATGTTGCTATAGAGATCTGTCATCTTCTCAACAGCAGAGTCAAACAATTCTGCAGTCACAGACTATTGCTGAGGATTTCACTGAATGAAGACAGGCAGTTTTCTTCTTCATTGTGTCTAGCCGTTTTTGAAACGGTAGTTAGATAGACGTGGAGTTATCAGACTGGATCATAGCTGTAGCTGAAGAAACTGGATGTTTTGGTTTTGGTGGGGTTTGGTTTTTGGTTAGGTTGTGAGGTTTCTTCCTTTTTCTGGAGGGTAGGAGGCTTTATCCCTTTGCTTATCTCCGCTTGCATCTGTCAGATGTCCTGATGAAGCATATTGTAGTTTGGAAATTGCTCAGTTCTATCCCTTGCTTAACCAGTTACCCAGTCTACAACCCGATATAAGCTGCTTATAACTTTCACACATTAACCCAGATACATTTGTTTGTGCCTATGGGGCTCCTGAGAATATAGAACCTCACTCCCGTTTTGAAAACTCCAGCAGCGTACCTATATTCTTAGGAGCTCAGATACCCCTGAAAATGAGCTTCCTCCCCAATGACATGGCTGCAGATATATCACTGAGGGATTAGGTGACTTGTATTTTTATTTGAACTTTCTACACCGCAGAAGTGATGTGCAATTCAGATAACAGTATTTTCATTTGCTTCAGGTATTGTCATTTGTAATCCCCACACGGCTCCAGAGAGTGACACAGAAGGCACTTCACAGGCTCTTCCACACAAGGTATTGCACTTTTTTTATGCTTTTGACATTATTTTTTACTAGTATTTCTGGTTACTATAGATGACCTCCTGCCACCATCAGAGCTTTCAGTATTATCCTTAGATATTCTCTCTTCATTAGGGGTGCTTGTCAGGGATTACAGATTGCCTTTAAGGTTTGCCACACTGTTGTCTTTCTGTTCCTTGCTTATTGCTGGGAAGATGGTACCCTGAAATATTTGAACATACTGACAAATAAAGATTATGTGGCTCAGTAGCTTCCAGTGTGACTAACAGATGTTGGTCACGCTGGTGGGAGACTGCATCCACGTGAGAATTACAACAGACTCTCTGGCAGCTGCAGAATGAGTTTAGACAGAGCTAGCGATCCCCGTCCTCTCCCTCAAATCCCATTAGTCTTAGTCCAGCAGCTTGGATGTCCAGGAGGCTCAAGGGGAAGCTGCACAGCTGCCAGTGTGCAGTCTGCTGTACACTGTAAGGTGAATTTTGTAGTGTCCCATAAACTTTGGTGCTTTAGGATCTGCTTTGGGAACAATTTAAATACTTTTCCTCTGGGGGCAGCAACTCCAATATGACAGACACTTCATGTGTTGTATACAGCTGCTGAATGTGTGCTGCAGTTGTTTTGTTGCCTGCTGTGCGGATTCTCTGCTGTTAACACAGCCCAAGAGAGAGTGGTTACACTGTCAAATGTGCAGTCAGCAGCAGAGCAATTATCTGATGAGCCTAGTGTAGTTGTCATTGCTAGACTGTGCTGTGCGCTGGAGACGCTTGATCCTCCATGCACACCCTTCAACTATGTCACCTCATTCAAGCAAGAGATTTTTCAGTTCATGCAGAAGTCCAGTGTGGCACAGCACTTGAGGGTATCTTCTTGTAGGCCTGCAGTTGAGAGGACACTCCACAGGATCCTGCTGGATTACACACAGAAATGGTGTAGGAGAGAGCAGTAGAGGAGAGCTTGTCTGCAACAGACTTCCCGCTGTAGTAAAATAAACATCACTAGTTACTTAAAACTCATAACAAAAGTCCAGCAAACTGATGTATAATGCAGAGAACTGCAGTAAGTGAACATTGCTTTCCTAATGTGTGGCTTATGTGAGCATCTGTTTGCCAGGCTGCTGAAAGTTGTTGCTCAGTATGATGCATCCCAAACAAACCTGCCTGCCAAACAGTTGTGCAGCTTGCCTTGCAGAAGCTGTAGTCTCCTGACAGGTTGGAACTAGTGTTCGCCATTGCTAACCTCCTGCCGTGCTAATTTCATAACAGCTGCTTATATTATTACAGTTTTTTTAAGATTACCTTTAACTGGGGTTTTCTTTGCTTTCAGAGCAGCATACAGCAAATGTATTCTGGCAGAATGTGTCGTGGCCTATTGCTGTGGCATATTTTGTCAGCACTAAGGGTGCTTTGTACTTGACTACTGTTGGAAAAAAAATGCAAAGGACATGACAAAATGGAATTGAATTTAGCTGGCATATTTAAAGGAGCGTATGTGGGAAGAAGAGAAGGAGAAGCCACTGGATGGAGAAAACACTATTAATATGCAATTCATGCTGGCCTGAAAACCTAAAAGAGGTGTCTCTTGCATTTGGAAAGTCTTTGCTGATCACCTCTGAGTGTACTTGACCTGTTAATCAGGATGCTGAGTATTAAATAGACTGTCCCCTTTCTGTTACAGAAGCTGTTTGTTTGTTGTCCTGCATGTAGCCTTGCAAGCTGCAGTGTATGGGGAATACACATGGGAAGTGTTTGTTTACTGCTGGGAGCTGCAGTTCCACCTCCTCCTCCTGCTGCTGCCCTACCTGCTGCTGGCTGGGAACATGGGCTGTTTCATTCTCTGCTCCCAGGCCAATCCGGGTAAGCTCATGCTGATTGTGAGCTGTAGCTGTTTGAAAAGATGGTACAAACACCATTACTTTTACTGTTTTTCTTGTTTCTTTCGCAGGTATAATAACAAAATCAAATCATGCATCATTGGTTAAGATTTATGCATATGATGGTGTATTATTTCAGAAAGGCATTGTGTGTCCTACGTGCAACATGGAGAAGCCAGCCAGATCAAAACATTGCAGTAAGAATCTTAACTTCCTTGATAAGCATAACAGTAATACTTTCCTAAATTAATTCTCAATCAATAACTGCAGTTCAGACTACATCCGTTCTGTTACCCAGCTTGATGCACCCAGGACTGGTTTGTTTTACTGGGGTCCCAGATTACAGCTGCCCTTTACCCATCCATGGAACTGTTTTGCTGCTCTTTCATCTCACAGAAATTACCAGTTCTGAGGGTATCATTTGGGGTCAGGTACAGGCAAGCTTTTGAGCATCTAGAAGTTAAATGAAAAATTATCTCCTGTCAAGACCTGAGTTCAGGATATTATGTTTCTCTTGCAGAATTTGCTGTTATCATCTAAAACAAAGCTGGGGGCTGCAATTTCTACCTTTCATAGGCTTTGCTAGGGAGTACTGTCAGAGAAACCAAAGTCTTTGAGCTGCAGTTTTGGTGAATAAAAGAGGAAATGAGATACATGTTTTTGTTTTTAGTATTGGATTTTTTTTATGATAGGCAGTTGAAATGAATGTATTTGCTTAAAAAGCTATCAGCTAAATCATGACCATAATTTTCAAGATTTTTTCAGATGAAAAACTATCCTGATCTGTGCAAAAATAAAATTGATTATTTAAAAAACAAATAACTGTCTTTTGTCATTTACTCCTCATCAGGTTTCTGCAGTATATGTGTACATCGTTTTGATCACCACTGTGTGTGGGTCAACAACTGCATTGGTGCCTTCAATGCAAAGTATTTCTTCCTTTACCTCTTCACACTGACTGCCATGGCTGCAACCGTTGCAATCATCACCACAGCATTTCTCATCCAAGTGGTGCTGCTGTCAAATATGATGCATGGGAGTTACATTGATGACCAAGGACAAGAGCGTGCTGTTGAGATTCTCTTCCTCATTCAGGTAAGTTTATGCTGTCTGGGTTATTAGCTTATAAAAAGGCTTATGTCAGTCTTTGCTTTCAGGAATCTTATAAGTCCATCTGTTCTCACAGGCAGGATGTGGACAGACTGCAATTTTTTACCAACTTTACACAGCTAATTAAGTTTAGAAAACTGCTGTTGCAGGATACTTTAAAAATAAGGGATTTTTCTCACAGCACTTCATTCCACTCTCCCGTTCTTTGGATTTCTGTCTCCAGGCTGCTTTCACTCAGCAGATCTGGTTCATAAAGAATGACTTTACATTCCAATGACCATCTACTGTAGTAACGTTTAGGAAACAGTTGACAATCCTTGAGATACCTTCACGGAGATGTTAAAGCAGGACCTTACTACCCTGGAATTTAGATACTTGAATATTTTCTCTCACATACAAGCAAAGAGTGACTTTGAGTCTCTCTAGCACTTGAGCCATTTGCATTTCAATCCCCTCATCCCTTTCTGTAGTATGGCAGTGAGGTGATAAGTAGAAAATGCTTTATCCTTTCCTCATCCTAGACAACAAATGTTTCAGCCTTGGACTCTTACAAAGGGATCTTGGTCAGGGAATGTTTGCTCATGTTTGAGCAGTACCATTACCACTCCCCAGTATTGGAATTTAACTCAGAAAAGAGCTGCTTCAACTGTATCATGTCAGCAAAACCTGAAGTTGTACCAGATTGTAGCCTCTTCATTTGGCAGTTTGTTTTCAGATGATCTGCATTAATGATTTTAATTAAAAAAACAAAACAAAACAAAACAAAACCAGCAAAACCCCAATATGAAATACAAACATTCAGAGAGAGATGGGTGTAGAAAATCTCTCGCATATTAGCAAGGCTTGTGAGGAAATACATTTCTGGAAATCTCTATGCTCTACTCAAAGATTCAGTCACAGGGATGGACCGTCACTGAGCTGGATGGATGGAGGATAGGGCTGTGACCTTGTTTCTGGGGCTGCACAGTTATGTGCACGTATGGATGTGCATTTCAGCTGGCGTGTTGCCACAGTCACATGCCTTCATGTGATTTGATGCTCCCAACTTCTTAACTAAGTTATTATTTTCTTTCTTTGCAGCACCTTTTCATGACTTTTCCTAGGATTGTCTTCATGCTTGGTTTTGTCATTCTTCTCACACTTGTACTGGGTGCATACTGCTGTTTCAATCTATATTTGGCCTTAACCAACCAAACTTCCAATGAATGGTATAAATCCAGAAGACATGGGTGTTCCCACTATCTAGCATTGCAGCCTCATGACAGACGAGTTGTCTACAAAAACATTTATTCTAAAGGAGTCTGGATGAATTTAAAGGAAATCTTTAAGCCTCCTACAGTGTTGGAAGGAAAGAAGAAAACGTGAAGATACTATTCTATGTCCATTTTTAAATTTTTTGTAAGACTTTATTTCAGCAGTGTGCTTTGAAGCCCCAGACAACTTCTGTGAACAGATTACTGTATGTCAGTTAAGTAACTGGAAACTGTTTTCACAAAGCTGACCAGTCTTCCAAAAAACTAGAGTTCTTCCAAGTTTGTCTGTAACACTACTCGTACCAGTTGTGACAGTGGCCTGTTAGTCTTTTCAGACACAATGACAGTACAGAAGCAAGCTGGACTAGAGTTAGGTTCACTTAAGGAACACATACACAAGGAACTTTTTTTATGGTTACTGTTTTGTACGCTGCATAATATATACCACTGTATATTAGGCAAACTGAGTTCCTAAGTTACTTTGGTATGTCTTAAGTAGGTCTTCCTGCAGGAGACTTTACAGGAATCTAGCAATGTCACACTTGTGGAAGTGGCACTTATTTGTCAATTATTCACATTTTTTTTCCCCTGAAGGAAAAGAGTAACTCACAGCTGACTGCAGTATTCTGATTAACGATGCCAAAGCAGAGCACTATTTAAGAGACTTCACTTGGTGAGATCTCTGAGTTTAAGCTCAGTCTTCTGTTTCCCTGTTAGAGGGACCAGTATTGAATTTGCTGGTATGGAGAGGGAAGTTTGGTCCATCTTACTGAAATGAATCTTTTTCTCTGTGTGTGCGCTTGCAAGGTAAGAGCTAACAAAGAGCTGCTATGAACTTTGAGGAAGCATCATCTTTTTTATCTTTGTTTTGCAAATTATTAACCCATTACCATTAAGTACAATAGGTTGCATGTATGTAGCTGAAAAACCCCATGATTACTGGCAGAATCTTAACCTGGAGAAACCATGTTCTACTGCAAATTCGTAGTAGTATGGAGCACCTTAATTTCAGAAAGGAAACTACTACAAGTGCTACTTCTCCTTACCTGCTAAGTCTCTTTCTTGATACCTATTTTCAGCTCGTTCAAATTAAGATACCATTTCAGCCTTAAAGTCATGAAAATGGTGGACTTCTGGGCAGAATTTCAGCATCCTGAAAAGGGTATCAGAAATTTGATACTGAGCTTTGGACATACAGGTCCTGGCAGATTAGACTTAATCCTTCTGGTGTTTCTCATCTTTATTGCATTGTTCAATATACCTGTTCACAGCAAGAGGCTCAACCACGTCTTAGGTGTTTCTTAGTATTTTGGGCATTTTGCAGCAGGGGAAGTTACAGTTGCTGAAGCTGTTTCTAGGGCTGCCCACCCACAATCACTGAACAGGCCACTTCAAAAGCACAGCAGTGACATGGTCTTCCACCTCTGTACAGGGATTCTCTAGGTGAACACTGAAAGGCAATTCATCGGTGTCCCTCAAGAAAACCCTCTGCCTTAACAGCAGAGGACAAAAGTATACTTGCAGCTATGCAAGCGGCCTTCTGAAATCCTTCCAACTTAGGATCGCTTCAGAGATCTCCAAAGCATCGCTGTACTGGCTGCTTTTAGAGGCTTGTGCTGGCTCTGGGAAAAACAGCATGTTTGACTCACCCAGCGGTGAGGGTCTCTTAATTTAAGCACTATGTTAGGTGGCCCTGTTCTCTTCTCAGAAATTCTTCTGAGTGATAATAGAGCAGAAATTGGAAAAATATAGTAAGAACTTTAAATAACTTTATTTTTAAAAATGTATTTATTTACATGCCGCATCTGTACAATATGCAATTAAAAATCCGTATATGGTTTAAAAAAAAAAAAAATCATATACAGTATGGCTTTACATACCAACAGACTAGCTCTCAGAGTAGCCTGTCTGGCATTGCAAGGGTACAATGATGCATTCTTTCATAGACCAGTATATAAGGCTATTTGTCCAGGATATAAAAGAAAAGAAAAGAAAAATACTGCAGTACCATGCCTTAGGAGGACTAAAGTAGTGAGGTTAAAGGCATGAAAGTTTTTGAGCGGTGGTGAATGCACACCAGAACTCCTTAGGTTTGGTTTTCTTGGTTTGTTTTAAATGCATACTATTAAGGTACTCTCTTAAAGAGACCCTATGTATTTGCTTCACTTTCTGAATCCTTTTAAATACCAGAACACTACTGTCCTGTGGTCAGAGGTAAATGCTTTGCAAAGGATCTTCCTTTATTTGAGGCAGCTGTACAAAATGCCAAGACTGTCAAATACGGCCTATCAGTCACTTCCACAGTATAACCATGCAGAGGTTTTAAACTACTGTTATTTCCATTTTAAACAGAAAACATCGTGGGGCTGTACCATCCTGTTAAGCCACTTACCTATAGAAGCATTCTCTCCCTTGCTTTCTGAACAATTATAATGGCAAACTTAGGACTGATCAAATTCCCCAAATAGGAGAAAAATAGTAAGTTTTACATTTAACATCTGTCACTAGCTGCATGCTGTTCATTACACAATCACAGTCTGGACTTCCACCTCCCCCTCCTCAGAGGCAATCACAAACTCTCCTGCATGTTCCATTATTTCAATATCCTCAGATGCCACCATCGTCACCGTTGCTTCTTCGGTCTCGATGCTACCCTCCGTAGTCAGCACTGTTCCTTCTCCGATGGCGGAAGCCAGCGTCATAGCGACCTGCTCTGTGAGGCTTTCGGGGGTCGCAATGGTGATGGTGTCCGCAGCATCTGTGGTTACTTCAGAGTTTTCTGCCACGGTGACGTTCTGTACAATGATCTGGTGACCAGAGTTTGCTTGATTTACTATTTGTTGCACAACCTTCATAATGTGGCTGTCAACCTACATGAAAAGAACATAGGCCACGTTATTTCTTGGTGTATTGTACTCTGTTAGAAGTACAGACAGTTATCATCACCATAAACAGTGCTTGATGACCAGCAGGGCAGTATAACAACCAGCATTTAATTCCAATTTCCTCCAGCTGTTCACTGAAGTTCTCATAGCCCCGAGAACAGCAGACTCTTAGAACATGTCACACCTCATGTCACTGAAGATATTTTCACCAGCGGGGTGCTTCCTACAAAAAGTCAAACTACTATTTATAGAAAAATCTTAACGATGCATGCCCAGACATTTAAACTGACCGAATGCAATTCAGGAGCCTAGCCAGCCTCTGACTTCGCAATAACCGTTTTTTTCTGGCATTCAGGAATGCCTTAAGAGGATCATTTCCCCAAGGCTGAAGTGTAACTGTACAATTCTACTCAGCTGGCAACTGTGCTCTCATGTATGAAGCCACACCAAGTCGCTGGCCGCCATCACTGAGAGGATCTGGGGTTAACAGAGCCCGGTCAAACACAGTATGACCAGTACTATGTTCTTATACAGACAGGTCTGCAGATCTACAGAGGTAGGTAAATTAATTATTTGAAGTTGAGTTTATTTAGCATGACTTTCAGACACTAAAAGTGATTCATTTCATCTACAGCGAGTCCTCAAAATAATAGTTTATGCATCTGCTTTACCTCATGTCTTGTTCCCTCAATTATTTCAGTAGCTTCGCTGGTCTCAATGTCTTCTGTAGCAGTCTTGAAAGACAAAATATGATGATTCCCTTTTTAGATTATTACAAAAAAATCTTTTATTACCAAGATACAAGGCACTAAGATCACTTACAAAAGTCTTTCTGTTCCCCCCATGATGCAGTAGCTACTCTAAAACAACTCCCCCTGAAATTACCTCCGAATCCCATTATCAAGAGCTACTTAAAAGTAACGCAAAGTGCTCACAAATAACTGAAAGAGAACATCGTCTCTCAGCAGGACTCAGCCAACTGGCAGATTTTTCTCCTATTGGAGAAAAACTATGGCAGCACTAAACGGACTCAATAAATGAACTGTGTTATTCTGCACGGCTGAGTACTGGTTCTTTGTCACAAAGGGGAAGAAAGCAAAATGTGTAATTCATTGCTTCTGGCAGCCACAGCCAGTTAAAAACAACAGAGATTATTTTGGACAAAATAAGCTAAATAGAAATGCGAGAAAAGAGTAGGTAAAAGTTGAGGGAAAGCTGAAGCAAGTTTGTGAGGACATAAAATCTCATCTAGTCAGAAGTTCTCAGTCTCAGCCTTCTGATGAACTACTGTCAGTCTTCCCTGCATTCTCATTTTCCTGCCTACATTACACATAGGACTTCAGAAGGGTGGTAAAATAGGCTCCAGGTGCTCTCCTTCTGAACAAGATTAATCCTACTTATTCCTAGGGTCATGCAGGCAGGGGTAGCATTAGCTAGATCCTATTGTATCTTCTCCCAAAAGCCTAGATGAGGAACATGCACGACTGCAGTTTTTACTGACAAAATACCGTGCTAAGTTCAGAATGAGAAGGCTCTTTGCCCCACTTCTTACCTCAATGATGTATTCCTGAGTGTCCGCCACCACTGAAGAAAACTCTACCAAAACAGTGTGAGGATCTTCAGAAATGACTGTTGCAGCTAAATTGTCAGCTGACTGACTTTCCTCAGACATGATCACTTCTTCCACCTCTTTCAAAGCAAGGAGGCAGCCACCTGAATGGTATTCCAAAAATGCCAGAAAAACATTTCTCATAACCATCCCAAATACAGGAGTGCCTGGAAAACACTATGCAGCACAAACAAGACCCCTTTAACAGGATGCAGCTGACAAGCGACCAGCAGTCAGACAACAGTCATCCCACCACAACCGGCCAAGTAATGGCTTAGAAGAGGCCTGCGGGACACCAGACGACAGAACCGAGCCTCCAGCAGAGCAACTGTCCAGTGCAATTTCAAAAAATACACAACTAAACTCAGATGCATAAAACCACACAAGATTTCAAAAGCCATATGTGAAGAACATACAGTAAGATTTCTGGTATATTTTAAGTCATGTATCTTTTCTGCTTATGCACTGCATTTCAGTATCTACCTAGGAAACTCTTTTTTTTCCTCCAGTAAACTTGCATCATCATCACTACCTGAAAAAGTTTGAAAATCCGTGCTTAGGAGCTAAAGGAGCAGCAGCTCCGGTGCAACTAATCCGATCAAACAAGATTATCTGCGAGAACTTAACTCTACTTAAGACGTTTTCCTCACAGAACATCCACATTTTGTGTTTTTACAGGATTTCATAAAACACCCAAATTAGTATGAGCCACATCTTAAGTTTTACAGTCCCCTCACCTCTTCCCCCACACAGAAATCAAATCAAGCGCTCTCTGGCATTACTTTGCAAAAACTTTAATTTTCTCCCTTTTTGTGTATAGCCTTGGAACAGAACAACTTCACAGTTCAGGGTAGACTCTTGCACGGTATAGGGTCTGTCTTCCCCACTTATGGCAGTGCCGACACTGCAGAGACCACTTAAGCCAGAGTTTGGAGCAGAAAGCCCACAGCACTCCTGCAGTTAGATTCTTAATGCAAATTCTGGTTTGGTTATTTTTATTTAGATTATCTAGATTTTACATTAGAACTGTTTTATGGCTGTTCATTCAGCATCATTTTTGGTCAGAAAGATCACAATAGAAATATTCATTAATGTAGATGAAAAAAATACAATGCATCTCCTTCTGATGCAACTGAGATGCAGATGAACAAATGGCCTTGGACGCAGATTGTTAGATCCACTCTAAAAAGCCATTACCATTCAGCCAAAAAGCAGCTTGTCCAAACCCAATCCTGGAACACCACACATGCCCTGCACCCCTATGCAGACAAGCTTTGCCACCTCACCTTTGGTTTTTAAGTGCCTGTTGAGAGTGCCGTGCTCTGCAAACCCTCGCCCGCACTTGTAACACTTAAAAGGCTTTTCCCCCGTGTGATGGCGGATGTGGCGGACCAGCGAGCCCTTTTCCCGAAAGCCCCGACTGCAGTACTGGCAGACATAAGGCTTATCCTCTAAATGCGTACGGAAATGAACTTGCTGGGCATTCTGTACAAAGAGAGAAGCAAGAGAAGGGCAGCTGAAGGGAATGACAAACTCAAGCAAGCAGTATTTTAGCTTCCAGGGTAAAAGCCAACATCTTTGAGGACTTCTCATGAAAGAAACTATGAAGACTTGTTTTTATTATTATTACGTAATTTTTTCCGCACACAAAGGAACAGTTTCTTCACAAATGTGAAGGTTTTATTAAGACTGTCCCTCTTTTCCCCACTAAAACAAAAGCTCCTTCTGAAGCTTCAGATCACGTCAGAGGCAGGTGAGCTGGCATTTGTTCTTTCAGGAGCAAAACTTCCTAACTTCTCCCAATCCCTGGCTCTGGAAGGGAAAATCTGAATGCAAGCCTGTTGTCAGGGAGACGCACCTTTGTCTTGTACCGCTTGCCACACTTTGGACAGGAATACGGCCGCTCATCAGAATGCACTCTTCGATGCCCCTTCACATGTGCAATGGTCTTGTAGAGCTTGCCACACTCTCCACAGCGGAAGCGCCGTTCATTCACATGCACTTCTTGATGCTTTTTTAGCAGATAGCCCTTTGTGAACTCTCTGCCACACTCCTCACACTTAAAAGGCTTGTAATCTAGAGAGAGAGAGGGAGAACACAAGGTTGATACAGGACAACCAGCAGCAGGAGGTATCTAGTTCATACTGTAATAAAATTCTTAGGAAAAAAATTAACCTGGAGAAGGAGGGAAATTATATTTTCAACTGCATGTATGGGCTTTGTCTCATTCATAAGCAAATTCTGCTCAAATGTTGCTCTTACAGCCTTTGGTGCCTTTCAAGCAGCAGTTCCAGCCCATCAACCTGTTCTGCCATGCTAACCTTTTTACCGGCCTCTTCACAAAATTCTACTTTCAAGGATGCAGTGCAGGCCCTGAAACATGGAAACTTCTTTTTTTAAAAAAAATATTTCTTTTACCCTCTCTGGTTGAGGTCTAGAAAAGTCAACCTTTTTGTATTAATGTATTAAGCATCAGTTGATTTTGCATGGCTAACGGCCATGTAAAGGCAAGGAATTTGAAACAAAGCAAGCTGTACTGTGCTTAAGGTCATAGTAAGACATGGCACATTTTAGACACCAGCATAAGCAGTAGAACTTTACCTAAATGACCTTTGATGTGTGTTTCAAGGGAAGTCACTTCACTGAAGGCTTCATTACAGTGAGGGCAAACGTAACTTTTGTACCCATTTGTTCTTTCTGCATCTGTCTATTGGAAAGAAAATGGTACAACATTAGTATTTTTTGTACTAGTGTGTACAGTAAGTATCACTAACCAAATTCCCAATTAAATACTCCAGCTTTGACAAGAAAGAGATCTATATTGCTAACAGGAGACAGCGAGCGTACTAACAATACACTTAAAGCATACGTGAAAAACATAACTGTAAAAATTGACACAAAGACCCAGGCACAGGGAGAGATGCACTGAGGATAGCATGAGGGGTGGTGAGGCTGACAGTGCTGTCCACAACCAAGTGCAGGCAAGGAAGATTAAAAAATTAAATCTATTTATGGAATACAAACATACCGACTCCACTTGTTCTACTTCAACACACTGTTCCTCACACAGCTCCTCTTCTGCTTCCACTGCTTCATTTTCTATTTCTTCTGTAGCAGCCACAGCAGGCTCATCTGGCTTTTGCATTTCCTCCATAGCGACTCTCTCTATCACAATACCCGAATTCCTCATGGCCTGCCTCAGCAGATTCTCACTGTTCACTTCCCCCTCACACGGCAGCTCCTCAGGATGCGATTGCTGAAGGAATAAACAGCCCAGTAACTGGTACAGCAAATAACACCGTTAGCCCTTTTTTTTTTTTTTCAGCAACATTGCTACTATGACAATCAGTCTTCCTAGGGTGTCTAATGCTGTGATACAGGGTTGAAAGATCAACTGGGGACTGGGGAGGAAGATGAGGTGAATCTGTACTCTGAAAACATATAGTCCAAGGGATGATAAGCTTTTGCTCCTACCACAGAGTCTCATAGCAGGGAATGGTCAACAAAAACACCCTTTCACCTTCTATATCATCCGGTACATGGTGGTGAACGCTACACATCCCCCTGTATGCTATACACATGCTGCTAAGCCTCAGCCACAGCAGCAGATGGCCAGACAAGGTCAGGGCAGAGTTTGCCGTCTATGTTCTCAGATGAAAGAGAAGCTAATTAACCATCTACTTCCACCACACAGAGTTATTCTGAGCACCTAAGAAAATTTTGCTCATGAGGTGAAATACTTCAAAATACTTCTTTGCATAAAACACATGAAGGGTGTTTAAGAGAAATGACACTCACATCTTGGTCCAGGGATTTTGTATCTACAACAGGAAGTTCCTGCATTTGGACGTGGACTTCATGAAGAACGTTGCCTTTTGCATCTGTCACGAGATGAATGACGGGCGAGGCCTCAATGGATTCACTCGCTATTGATGAAACAGTGTCCGTGTTTGAACTACAGGATCCTTCAAGAAAAGCAGCACAATTAATCACTTGGCGTACTGCCACCCCTCACCAATTTGCTGTGCCCTACACAAAATGTGTCTCAGAATATGAGGTGCCTGTTAAAGCCACCTTTGAACCAGATTCTCAAACATTCTTCACAGCCAACACCTGGCTACATGTGCTTCAGGCTAATAGTTTAGCTCTGTAAATTACTTTTTCCTGTATAAAAAATATAAACTGAATACCACAGAAATACTTTTTTCATAACTGAGAAAGAATTTATAGTTCATGTGCCGGGAGCATGCTTGGTTTTATCAGACACAAGGCAGGTATTGACAGCATCACTGACCTGTTGGCAAATCATCTTTATTGACTACTATTTCTTTGTTCATGTTGAAGCGGATTTTTTCAGTGCAAGGTGTCAGAGATTTCAGGTGCCGAGTCAAAGCTCCAGATTCCCGGAAGCTTTTCCCACATTTCTTGCATTTGTAAGGTCTTTCATCTGGAAACAACAAGAATCGAAACAACAGTATTAAACTAACGACAGCCAGTATTCGCTCTATGCAACAGACTGCTAGAACGACGCTTTCAGCTTTCTACAGCAAGCAGACTGTGCTTATCCCAAGACCTTGTGTCGCCTCCCAGCACCCCAAACATCGGGGAGCTCCACGGTCTTGGCTCAGCAGAAGATGGAAAGCAGCAATAAATTCCACTGGAAGGTAAGCTGGATAATCACACACAGCACACTCCAGCAACAAGTAACTCTTATTTTGGAGAACTGTCTTACCAGTGTGACGCCGATGGTGTCGAATCAGAGACCCTTTTGTCCTGAAGGAAGTCCCGCAGAGTTTACATTCATAGTCCTTTCTGCTGCTGTGCGTGATCATGTGAGCTTTGAGGATGCTTGCCTAGGGAAAGAATTTCATTTTAGAAGATGCTCCACATGGTTACAGATTTTACATTTCAGCTGTAAAGAACAACAACACTCCTTCTGAAAGCAGAACTTCCCTTCTGAATGTGTAGCACGCAGTAGAGAAGCACACTGTTATCGAGTCTTGAGATGTCTTGGTTAACAGCTAGCCTAAATAACTCACTAACCCAAACACAGTAGAAGTGACGCTTACTGTTTTAAACGTCTTCTGGCATAATTCACATACATATCGCCCTTCTTTGTTAATCAGCAGCTTAACCTTTATCAGTTCTGTGGCAATGTCCTGCTCCTGATCTTCAGGGTTGCCTTGCTCTTCAGTGACTTCGCCATCGACATGACCATTTGGGTTTTCAAAAACGTGGTCTCCTGCAACAATGACTTCTTTGATGTGCCCACTACCTGGGAAAAGGATACGAAGACAGTTACGTTCTTCACAGAAGACAGCTTTACACGACTAGAGCGATTTACTGTTTCAGCATTTCATGCCAAAGGAAGGAGAAACGGTTACTCTAAACCTGGAATATGGGTCTTTGTAAAGTTCTCATTGCAGCATAAATATTAAAATGGACATTTCTCGAATGGAATTTTAAATCTGATTTGTATTAACACGGAGGGAATTGCAAAGCTGGCCTAGGGATCCCTCTCTCACACCTTTGAGGTAATGCTCAGTCCCAGGTCCCCGTGCTCAGAAACACCGAGGTGTCATGTACCCAACTACAACACAAATCAAACAGAAGAGGACGCTGGACGAGTCAACAAGTTCCTAACCCAGCAGGGGTATAAAGGCAAGCGTCTCGAAGCTCACCTACTATAGCAGATGCGTTGCTGATTTCCTCTGCTATTGAAGATGCTTCAACAACTATATGAGCAACAGTTATCGACTCCTCGACAGAAGGAACGACCTGCTGTAACAGATAACATTTTAGCAGAAAAGTTTTATTACCTTTAAAAACATTGCATTCTGTTCTCTCCCCTCCAACCCAACAGACCGTTGCATCCTAATTATTTTCAGCCACGGCTTGAGGAGAAGCCTGCTGTCACCTTTTGTACTTCTTGGTTGAGGAGACCTGCTGATGCAGCAGCGAGAGCTTCTGGAGCTCGCTGGCAGACCTTTTGTAATTTGTGTTGCACAAATTCTTCCAAGGAGGTGAACTCCGACTGGCAGCGGCCGCACTTATGCACGTCATCTTCATCTACGATTTAAAACGCAGTCATCGGTTTAGGAAAATCCGGCCCCTATTAACGAGCAGCGTTTACACTGAAAACTTTTGGGTTCTGCTTGTCCCGGTGAGCTCCGACGCCAGGAGAGAAGGGGCCCGGCGGCGGGGGCTGCCGAAGGGTGTTTTCGCTCCCGCAACCAGGCGGTTTCTGGAGGTGAGCGGGGCGATCCCCACCACCCCCGGCCGGTCCCCGGGGCTCCGCTCTCGCAGCCCGGAGGAGGGACGGGGCGCAGAGGGGCAACCAGCCAGCCAGCCAGCCGCC